TATTGTTTATAGAAAAGACTATAAATAGGTAAAAAAAAGAAGAAAAGAAAGATAATATTTCAATGATTCACATAGAATTTAATGAAATTATATAATGTATACATGAGGTTTTACTGGTGCATACTAATTTAATTCATTTTTTTTTTCAATTATTCATTAATTCATCATTCCAGTTGATTTCAAAATCATTATATCTTACAGACCTCCTCTTCTGAAATACATTCCAAGTGTTGTATCAAAGTTTCCAAGGTAATTTACTGTTGGTTTTCTGTAAAATGTGTCATAAAAAATTGAATACTGTTTTCAAAACAAACCCTTTTATATAAGAATTGAATATTTGTCATTTTACATCATATGTTTCTTCAATGGTTTGTAGACATTACTACAATCTATGAATATACATGTGTGAAGTATTTCACAGAGTCAGAAGAATCAGTTTAACATGATTTGATAACTTAAAACGATTTGATAATTTTTAACAGCCAGTTTTGTTTATTTACTCTTCTTCAGGTTAAAATTTGTTGTTGATCACATTGCAAAGCCATACATCAAGGACAAAAAGATTGAAGGATGGAGAGAAGAAATTGCTGAGATAGCAAAATACCCAAATGTCTACTGCAAATTGTGAGTCATTGGTTTAATTGAGATAGCAAAATGAATGCCTCTTAATCACTAAAGGGGTCTTACATGTATATTTCTTTGATTAGATTTGATACATGTACAAATCCCAGTAGATTCATCTTTGTAAAACTTCCAGCAGCTTTGTAAATTCTTAAAAGCTTTACCTGTTTAAGAAGTTCTAGTGAGCAAATAAAGGTCTTGAAAATGAATATTGAATTTGAATTGGTACTCAATAAGTCAGACATATGTACCAACTGTATATTTTAAGTTAGTAGTTTCAAAAAACATTCATCTGATCAGGGGTTTTTTTTATCGTCTTTTCAAGTACCTTATTCCATTATTTAAGTTATATGCAAATACTTTTTGCAAACAAGCCTTGCATGAATTTAGTACCTTTTGTTTTCAAACATTTGATAAAGAGGAGTTAGTTATTATATATGATTACAATAATTTTATCACTTTGAATGACTGTTTTAGATCTGGCCTTGTAACAGAAGCAGACTGGAACTGCTGGAAAATGGAAGACTTCAAACCATACATAGATGTAAGTAGTTTTCATACTTTTCTGGAAAAGTTTTTTTAATAACTACCATATTTTTTGGAAAGAAAATTGGATTTATACATTTAAGGTAGTCCGAACCCCAGGCTCATAAAATTAGCAGTTGAGTAATCAAAAATACTCATTAAAATATCTCGGAATCCACGAAGTAATGTAAATTTGCCCACAGTATTTCTTTGAATTCAAACATTAAAGTTAATCATATTATATAGAGGAAATTGTCAAATCTCTAATATATATTCAGAAAAAGCAAAAAAGAATATCGGCTATGCAATTTCTAATTGCAAATTGACCAACAAAAATATTTTAGGTTAAAAAACAATAGGTATCCAGACATTCAGAGAAACTGTCATGATTTGTATAAATTGGTATTCTATGTCCTCTATTTCCTTCATGTATTATATAATACATACTTTAAAGGTATTTGCTATCATTGCAAGACATCACAAATCACTTCTAATTTCATATCATGCTAATAAGTATTGGTATCCAAGTCTCGATTCAAGAAAATCTTACTTCTCTAAAACGGTATTTATTTTTTTTCCTTTTATGGGGTGCAAATGTCAACTTTTTATAAGACCTTTTCTAAGACTTCCATAAACCTTGAATCATACAAAGATGAATATTATAAAAATTGCTGCATGAAAAGATTTCATTTTCAAGCCTCATATTGGTGCTTTTTTAATTAAATATTAATTTTTGGAGTTATCCTTCCTGGCTGAGGATTGGATATCCTTAAAGCATTATTGTGTTGGAGAAGTATTCCAGACATTAGATTTAACATGTACATTTGTATTTCAGCATGTTTTAGCATGCTTTGGAGTGGATAGATGTATGTTTGGATCTGATTGGCCAGTGTGCAATCTTGCCAAAGCTGACTATAAAACAGTGTTTGATTTGCTGCAGAGTCTTCTTGCTTCCATGACTTTTGAAGACAAGAAAAAGATTTTCAAATTGAATGCATTTGAATTTTACAAGCTGGACTTGAAATAGTTTATTTACATAAAACATGATTCATATAATCAAGCTTTAATCATGGTCATTTCATCTTTGAAGTTTTTAAACATTTATAATTCTGTGACAACTCTGAAATCAATCATTAAATGATTTAAATATACATGTACTTGAAAATAAATCAAAATGATTGTTTTATGTTTTAATTATTACTTACAGATTGTTCATTGTACCCTTATTTCAACTCTTTGAGAGAGTATGGTGTCAAATTCCTATTCCTAAAAATAAAAGTCTTAACAAAAAAAGCATTTTGTCTCCTGTGTTGATATTTTTATCCGAACTGTACAGGAGGAAGAAAAATCAAGATGGGTTTTGAAACACTGATCCTAAAGTCAGGTAGCTCAAGATTTAGTTTTTTTTTAACGTAGGTCAAACTGCAAGGACAAGCCTACCTCAGATAGACTTAGTTACAGGGAATATGCTTGTATTTAGCTATAAATTACCTGGTAGTTAAAGATGTATCAACCATTCAAAAATATTGGCAAGGCTTAAGATTTTTCAAAAAGAGGGCTACACTCCAAGGTAGCATGGGAGCAGGGAAATGGTATCAAAGAAAAAGTCTTGTCACAAAATGAAGGCCTTTTCAACATTTAATGTTATTTTTTTTTCAAATGTAGGTAAAATTCCAAGGGGCCTTAAATTCCATGGGGTAAAGAATCTTGGTACCCTGGGAAAAGAATTGACACAATGAATGCTTGTATGATATTTTAAAAAAGTCTTAGTATCCACCATTTAAAAGATATGGCCAATTGGCCATGGCCATCATTAAAATTTTTCATACGTAAGCAAACCTCTAAGTCAAGGTCAAAAGTTTATGTCAACAAACAGCTAAACAGACAGGCAGGGCAGATATTAAACAACAAGAGGCCCAAGGGCCTTATAGGTCACCTGAGTATCATGTAGCAACTTTTGAACAATTGAAATTGGTTTCGTGTTTTAAACCAGAGGCCATGAAATTGACAAGTTTGAAAGAGGCACCATTATCATAATTATACACTTAGCATGCTTACTCTAGTTACTTTACTGTATACCCAGAGGTAGATCAGAGAAACAAAGAGAAAATGCACTTCCACTTTATAACCAGTTGTGCATCCCACCCCAAAGGAACCACTGACCCTGGGGCCACTTATTTCAAAATTTTTGAAATTTTATTTTCATCATAAATGGTTGATTAATACCAAAGAGCAGATTTCAAAGCATTAATTTATTTTCAGACTATGTAGCCTTCACCCCTCCCCCCACCCCACCCCACCCGAAACCCCTGACCCAGGGGGCATGAAATTAACCATTTCGCTAGATGCATCTGTTTTCATCATAAATATATATACTTAGATCATTGGCATAGTACCCAGGAGCAAAGGAACAGATTTTCACAGAATTAATGTATTTTCACTATATAATCAATAGAGCCCCACCCTAACCCCAGAACCCCTGACCCTGGGGTCATTTTTTCACAACTTTTGTTCCCCTTCAACCATAAATGCTGTATACCAAATTTGGTTGAAATTGGTTCAGTGGTTTCAGAGAAGACGCTGAAATGTTCAAATGTTAACACACGACGCACGGCGACGGACGAAAACGGATAGCAATGGCAATAGGTCACCTGATGAGTGACTCAGGTGACCTAAAAACTGAATTCCCACTGAACAATGAATCTCCAATTAAAAGGGGCACATAACCACATTGTCATTTGAGTAAACTAAACTTATCTTTGAATTTGCTTTTTATCATTTAAACATAGATGTTATACAAAGACATTATGGATCTCTAATGCTTTGATGTAGGATGCTAGAGGATCGAAACAAGATGTGTTTTTAAATCACTGATGCTCCCAACAGCTTATGGCAAAGGTTAAAGTTTCTTAAATTCAAGTGAAAACCTTAAGATCAAGACACCAAAAATGTTAATACCCAAAGAAAGCTCTGGTCACAAGAATAATGTTTAAAGGTTATAGATTTTGCAAAGAAACAGAAAGACGGAAACATTAGAGCAAATACTCCAACTAATCAAAAGTTATGAAGAGGGTAAATTATAGTATTTGCAAGCAAATGGAAAGACAGACACATGAAAAAAATAAAAACCATACCTCAAACCAATCAACAGATATGAGGAATGTTATAGTTTTTGCAATCAGACAGACAGGCAGATAGAAAGAGCAAAAACTACATATAAGTGCCCCTGAATCTTCGATTATGAATTATTCAAAATATGCATGATGCTTTCTGCTCCAATGGATATAGAGTATATTGAAGCATGCTTGTATAATGATTTGAGAGAAACAATAATTTATTACTTTTCAAATGTCCTTAAAACTGATTGAACAACTTGAATTAAGAAGACTACTGGTATTATATGTAACGTGAATTTCTGACCTTGACCTTTATACCTCAAAAGTAAAAGTTTTTTTTTATCAGATTATAAAGAATTTAGATATAAAAGTCTTACAGACATATACGTAATAACAGACGAATATAATCAAATAAATATTGCCCGCTTTTAGAGAAAACAAAACTTAATTCACAATTGCATTTACAGTTCTATTTTTGTCTTGTGTTCTATTACTTCAATAAATTGCGACATTTAATTTAATAGAACAATAGAAAGAGTTCATTCATTAGATTTGTATTGTTCCCTACAGACCAGTGAATTCTTTTGAAATTCTACACTTTTTCATGTCTTTTAAATGTAAGAGGTTCTTTAAAAGGCTTAGATACGACAATTTGACAGTACTGATTAACTAATTTAGCTTTCAAGTCTTTAAATAGAACTAAATAGTAACGAATCTTATTACAGTATGACTGTTATCCACAACTCAGTCACATGATTTACAGGGATGATGCTACATTATATTATCCTCAGCTTACTTCCATCCGCAGGTATGATTTTGATGTTTATATATATCAAGGATACCTTATAATATCATAGAAGGTTCTTGTGATAATAATGTTGATAACAGCATTACATGAATTTTAATTCAAACATAAAGTTTGCTTATTGTTATTAAAAATTAATACAAACTAAAATTGTTTGAACATATAATAATTTTCTTTCATTTTTTTTAATATCTGATGTCATTTCCGTTTAAAAATACACGTTTTATATACAGTATATATCTCATTATTTCCCATAACAATATAAACATATAATACTGTAACATATTTTTGCGGTATATCAAATTCCTGTTAACTACTGTACTGTTGTATTGTTAGAGTACACATATCATGCATATATCTATACTTATATTTTAATAAATTTTTGCTAATAAACGACAACACCAGAGTTCTTACTTAATCCTCTAGAAATACACAGGTATAAGGTGATGTCCGTAAACTTTACTCAAAATTCACTCGCATAGAAATTATAATGAATTTAATTAAAAGTATACTTTCATTTTTAGTAAACAGCCTCGAAATAGCACAAAAGAGAGTACGGTGGTGGTTCCGGTTAGCGGATCCAAGTTACTGACATTTTCTAATGAAGCTGACATCAAGAAAGCGTTTTAAAATTATTCCATAAAACATCATTAATGAATTATTCAATCAAAACTTGATTTATGTAATATAAAAGAAATAAAATGCGATTACTGATTAAGAAACAAAATGTGCAAATTCTTTCCGTTTACGTCCGATCTCACTCTTTATTGAAAGATCTAGAAAGTCCGTAGAATGTGAAAGATACTTTTTGGAATAGTTTTGATACAAGTTTTAAACAAATTATCCCGCGCTTGCGCGGGGTTTCATCAAGTAATATATACATTTCTCAAATAATCTGTCTTTTCCCACCAGCATTATTCTTTCCAATTAGAAGATAGAGCTGATGGAAAATGAAGAGGCGTATACTGCTAATGGAAATGTACAAGTTTTTACTGCTAATTATAAAATGTACAGATGTACACTTACATTCTGGGAATTGCTTATGCAGAAGTATGTATGCGATTATGGTAAATGTACTGCTAATGGAGAATGTGCATGTACAATTTCCATTAGCACTATACACCAGTACATTTTCCATAAGCAGTATACACCTGTATTTTTTCTATTAACAGTATACACCCGTACATTTCCCTTTAGCATTATACACCTTTGCAATTTCCTATAGCAGTATACACCTGTATATTTTTTTCTTTTTAAAGTATACACCTGTACATTTCCGCTCTCCACTGGGAGCTGGACAGACAGCAAATATGGAACAGTGCATTTTTCAGGAAGCATTATGTTTATGTCACAGAAGGGGTACGGCACAGGGGCTACAAGTACAAACTGGACGTGTGTAACTGTCAGTGGGTCTAAATATCTAGCAAGGTAACCGAACATTTTAGCTTCAATTGTATAAAAGATGAAAATGAGGATCTTTAACAAGTTAAACTTGTATTCGAGTTACTAATATTTAGATGTGCTTTCAAGAAAATAAGAAAACACTAATTCCTATTGCCATACTAAATTATCAATTTCAAGACTATAAACATTCAGGAATTTTACACAATTCATGATCATGTACTTTCATATTTATTATATCAAAGAAATTTTATTTAAAATAGTTAATATAACATTTTTCACAATCATTGTGCATTAATTTTTCTCAGCTTTATATTAGTTAATGTTTAAAGTCCTACATAAAATACTATAAACAATAAACGGACTTTCTATAATAGAACCACCACCACGGTATCTCTGACGTATGGATCCATAGGAACTCTTCAGCTGTACCTGTATTTGTGTATGGATATTACTACGGTTACGCAATATTCTTATTATTACTACCAGCAAACAGGTAAAACTTTTGCATTTAAGTTTACAAATCTTCAAAAGCTTTTTTTTCTTAAGTAAACTTCCGCTGAAGTGATCTGTTCATGACCTATGTTTGCCAGCATTCATTCTTCTGCTTTGTTTATAGAATAAAAGATTTACCTTTTTGATTATGTTTATTTTCTGTATCATCGTTCTCCTCGATCTTTTATTCTACAAACTGTGTTCATTGCAAAAAATGTTTACCTTCTCTCTGGATTTGAATCATAGAGGACAGCGTCGATCTGGGGCGAATGAAAGGGAGCGTGTCTGATTCCTATGGAATTTCTGACGTGTGCACGACAACTACTCCAGTAGAACTTTTCCAAGTTCTTGTTAAACAAGGTACATTGTTTAAAATGTAACCGTCATAAATTTGTAAAATATGCAAAATTATGCACAAAAGGTTGATTTTGCATATATGCACTCTCGTTCTCGCACAGTACGGTAATTTAAACCCAAAACTAAAAAACTCGTGCAAAATCAGAAAATCATTTTGGCAAAGCAGGCAAATTTGTGTATATACTTCTTAAGCCCCCGTAATCAACAAAGATGAAGGGTATATAGTTTTTGCCCTGTCCGTCTGTCTGTCTAACTGTTCGTCTGTCTAGCTGTTTGTCTGCAAAAACTTTAATATTGCCCTTAACTTTTGACTGGTTGGAGCTATGACTTTTGCAGGTCAAATGTGTTTACTATTCCTGGTGACAGTTCATCTTCGAATCGCGTGGCGCAGTGGTTAGGGCGTCTGCTCTAGAGTTGCGGAGTATTCAGTATAAGGAGTTGATCCTTACGTCGCGGGTTCAAATCCCACCTTGGAACGTGGAGACCGGTCTCTTGGATGAGACCATGCAAATGACTATAAACCGAAATCCCGTGTCGCAGTATGTGCTGGTACAAAAAGACCCCTCACGGCTCAATGGCCCTAAGTGCCCGGTATAGGACAAAATTTGCAGCTCTCCACCGACAAGAGGTGGCGTCGCCATATGAGTGAAAAATTCTGCAGAGGGACGTTAAAACAATCTACAATCAATCTTCCCTTGACTACACACATACTTAACCTCCTGGCCTTTTAGTCTGACCCACATTTAAAAGAAGAAACTTTTACCTTGGCCACAGTTTTTGAGCACTTGCTCCTAGTTTCGTCCTTCACTTAGAATCTTTTATAACAAGACGTTTCTAACGATATACTGAGTATATATTTTTGACCTTTTAGTTTGACCCACATTTAAAAATCTTTTACCTTGGCCGTAACGTTTGGTTTTGACCTTGAGAGTTGAACTTGCATCTGAGAAACTTAAACCTTCGCCAAAATCTGCCATACGGGGGCATCCACTAACTGTGTATGGGTTCTGAAAACCAAAAACAAGATAAACTCTTGTATCAAGCTTTGTAAACAACATTATTGCATCTGATTGACATGAATGGAGTAGGGTCTGGTTCAATCGACCTTCTTTATTACTAAAAGTCAACAATTAGTATGCAATTATTGGTTTATTATACCCCCGCTTGAAAAGCGGGAGGGTATATAGTAATCGGTATGTCCGTCCGTCCGTCTGTCTGTTACGCTTTGGGGTACCAATCTCTTATCCGCAACTCCTCTCAAACCACTGAATGAAATTTGATGAAACTTTCACAGAATATTGATTACATATTGCCATTGTGCACCTCTTATTTTACTTTTTGATCCAACACATATTTTGGGTTTCCCACAGCAAAACGTGGACACTGCCATTTTATACATATGGGAGGCGGGGGAGGGGGTTATCATTTAGTGAGCTCATTGCTCACAGTACCTCTAGTTATACCCCCCGCTTGAAAAGTGGGAGGTATATAGTAATCAGTATTTCCGTCCGTCCGTCTGTTACGCTTTGGGGTACCCATCTCTTATCCGCAACTCCTCTCATACCACTGCAGGGAATTTAATGAAACTTTCACAGATTCTTAATTACATATTGCCATTGTGCACCTCCTATTTTACTTTTTGATCTGACATATATTTTTGATTTTCCAGAGCAAAACATGGACACTGCCATTATATTCATATTCATATGGGAGGCGGGGGGTATCATTTAGTGAGCTCATTGCTCACAGTACCTCTAGTTTATCTTCAAATGTGTACAAAATATTGAGAGACATAATAGACAGATTTTTTTAAAATTTAAAAAACTATTATTTTATAATTAACTTTTAACAATTAAAATGATAAGCAGATTTTAGACAGGAGAGGACAACAGAGCTTTCAACAACATCTCTAAATGGATGTATTTACTATTTAATGCTTTTAGATTGGGAAAGCCTAGTTAGAATGAGTATCCTTGGAATATTTAAAGTTACACAATGGTATTGAAATAATTTTGCTCCGGTAACTCAGCAAGGGATCTGTTTTGCTTGCTTTGTTACCAGAAAAAAAAGCATAAGAAAATTTAGAACAAGTCCCTTTTTGCAAGGCAAACCTCTTCTTGTCCATGAGGCCCACACAATATAAGTACTTTAGAACAAAAATTTAGAAGATACATCTCTCTGAAAACAGATTCCAAACAAGCTACCAAGCCATCCAGATAAGATAATAGAAAAAAGTGAGCAAGCTCACATACCCCACGTTCCCCCAAAACTCGAAGTGCTGAAATAGCCGGGAAAACTAAAGGAATCCCAATTTCCTGTAAATCTATATTCAAGGTATGGCCAAAAATCTAAGTTGAAAAGTGTCGAAATTCCCAGAAAAATAATGGAATCGGAATTTCCTGGTAATATGCACATATACACACACCGTGTACTACATATCTACAAAGTTTGAGAAAATTCTGTGCAGAGGAGTCGGCTGACAATCTGATCATCTCTATATTCAAGGTATGGCAAAATATATAAGTTGAAAATTGCGGAAATTCCCAGGAAATCCGAATTTTCTGGTAATATGCACATCTTAACATTGTGTCCAAATATCTTCAAAGTTTGACAACATTCTGTGCAGCGGTTTATGAGGAGTTGCGCTGACAAACTGTTCATCTCAATATTCAAGATATGGCCAAAAATCTAATTGTAAAAGTGCTGAAATTCCCGGAAAAAATTAAGGAATCGGAATTTCCTGGTAATATGCACATCTACACACTGTGTTCTTAATAACTGCATTTGACGAAATTCTGTGCAGCCATTTATGAGGAGTTCCGCTGACAAAAACAGGACTGACACACTGACTGACTTACTGACGGACGGGTCAAAAACATTATACCTCACACAACTTGTTGCATGGGGTATAAATATCTACTATGTAAATGCTAAAAAACATTTTTTTTGAACATAAACTTGAATCAGTTCACCGGTATCTTACGGTTTTGCAAAACGTAAACAATGGTGTGGCGCTAAATCACTTATGAAGCGCAGCAAGAATGACCATTTCCTATACATAAGCATTTTACTACTGCTTAGATCAGCTGACTGTGAGCTTAACCCTGGCCCTCGCCCACCCAAGTACCCATATCAGGTTTGTCACAAGGCCTACAGATGGGGTCAGCGTGCTATTGCATGTGATAACTGTGACCAGTGGTACCACGTGATGCCTAGGTATGCCAAGTCAAATGTACCAATGCAACGCTCACTCTGACGTCAGCTGGATATGCTGTTCGTGTGGCCTGCCGAACTTTTCTACTTCTCTTTCCGAGTTCTTTATCATAGACACATCGAACACCTATAACAGCTTCAACACTGACTCTAGCAGGAGTAGTTCAGGGGATCCCGGCTCACCATTACAATCATCCTCGCCTAAGAAGGGAACGTCACCAGGTACCACAGCAAAACCGCCACAACACAAATTTCGCATTATCTCACTCAACTTACAAAGCATACGTGCGGAAAAGAAAGGCGAGCTTCATGAACCTTGTAGTTTCTGCTAGCCCTGGCATCAATGTAGGCACTGAGTCGTGGTTACGACCTGATGTTCATGACAGTGAATTCTTTCCTACGGATTATGTCGTCAAAGATAGGAGGGATCGTGAAGATGGTTCTGGAGGTGTCATAATCATAACAAAGGCAAATACACCATGCGATGAACTCCATATCTCTAAAACATCAGAGATGATATCGGTGAAGAGAGGGACATGCAAGTCACTGAATATAGCATGACTATACAGACCGCCCAGTAGCAACCAAGAGGCAGCGAAACGAATATGTGAAGAGCTCCATAGCATCATACAAGCACACCCTACCTCCCAATTTTGACTGACTTGTGAAATCAATCTCCCAGATATCTCCTGGTCAAACAACTCTATCAATGGGAATCAAAATCCAAAAAGGGCTGAACAACGTTTTCCTAAACTTTTTTGCTGATTCTAGCCTACTGCAAATGGTGGAGTTCCCAACAAAGAATAATTCAACCCTCGACCTATTCCTTACAAACAGACCCTTACTAGTAAATCGTCCGAGACCACTCCCAGGCATAAGTGACCACGAAGCATTATTTATCGACAGTGATGTCCAGGTTCAATGACCTATTTGTCGGAAGTTGTACCTGTGGAACAAAGCAGACTTGGAGGACCTCAGAAACAATATAACTGCCTTTAGTCCCACCCAATCTTACACCCAATCGAGGATCTGTAGTCCAGCCTTAAAAGTGGATGCCTTGATGCCCTGAATAGGAATGTTCCATCAAAGATGACAACGACACACTTCAAGCAGCCCTGGGTCACAGGAGATCTAAAGCCCCTGTCCAGAAGAAAAGATCTTGCCTATAGGCAATACGTGAAAACCAGATCTACTCAGGACCACTCACGGTATAAGCACCTTAAGAAGCTGTACATGTTCGGCGCAAACTAAGATATCATGAATATTTACACAACATCATCATGGATGAAGACCATAAACCAAATCGACTGTGGAACTTAATTAAAAGTAAACAAACTGATGCATGCGGAGTGGCAACACTAATACGCGATGGATTAACATACAAGGGTGCCAGGGTGAAGGCAGATATCCTTAACCAACAATTCACATCCGTATTCACTACTGAGAATCCCAGCAACCCACTTCCATATATGGGACCCAGCCCAAATCCGACAGTTCCAAGCATTAACGTTCATCAAAATGGGATGGAGAATCTACTGGAACAGCTCGACCCCCACAAGTCCACAGGACCTGATGAAGTCTGCATGACTACTGCAAGAAACCTCCCACCAGATAGCACAGCCTTGACCCTGCTATACCAAGCTAAATTAGACCAAAGCAGGTTGCCAGATGAATGGAAGTCGGCTAACATCACGCCACTTTTTAAGAAGGGAGATAGGAGTGCAGCAGTCAACTACCGCCCAGTGTCCCTGACTTCTGTTTTTTAGCAAGGTCATGGAGCATATAATCCA